AACATAGCACAAATTGATGACTAAATAATCAGTAATTCAAAATATTTCTGGAATTATATACATTACATTGAGTTCATTACTCAAGAGATGACTATAACTAACCGGAACTATTCGGAACTGTTGCTTATATACTAGGTATTCTTAGGAAATATTAGTTTTCATTTCACCACTGCTTCTCTCATACCTACCATATTTGTCATACAAGTTTGTATTAATGTATCATCTTAGTCACACTTGAACAGTAGGTCAGTTGAACGTCAGTTTTTGAATCCTCGATTTGTTGACGTGTGTAGTCCGAATTGTAGACTTTCCATACATGGTGATATATGTTTTTCCAAAGAAATTGATTCGTTGATAGATCTTCGAATATCAGATCATATAAAACTAAGGAAAATTCAATGACGAGTATTGAAACTCATTCATTTTGAATTATATCGTTCCTCAATTTGAATTGTATCGTTCCTTCCTAGCTGATCTTCGAACAATGTCATGCAGTTCTTGATATTCCCTACTATAGTTATCAGCATGTATTATTGAATTACCATAGTTCTCAACAGGCCCAGTCAATATTTTATTGTCTCACTTTGTTCATCCTGAATCTATTAGCCTTGGGAGCTAGTTACTTCAATTCCCATGGTTGGTGTCAAACTTTGTAGACCATCATATTGTTCTTCATCCAAAAGCAATATTATATATTAATTGATTGAGATATTCGTGACAATCGTATATAGCTGTATAATATGAAATATGAAATCACTCGAGTATGGTCGAATAAACAGTTCCATAATGTATATCAAGAGTTATTTCGCGTCATATGGACTTCGGACTCAATCAAGACGGTTTCATTTGGAATCGTTATGAGTATATAATATATTTGATCTTCCCAGATAAATTCAAACTCTTTTTCTAATCGAATTCACCCCTGCCAGTTCAACTACAGCGAGTTGTGAAAATGATATCTGATAATCAAATTCTGACTAGGAATTTTATTCCTTGGCAGGTAGTAGGCAGTGGACCGTCCTTTGACTAGGTACTTATATTTGCTAGTAAGTTTTGATTATACAATTTAAATCCGAAATAATGCGATGGCACGTTTCAATACCTTCATAGGTTATCAGAAAATAGCCCTGTCAAATATCACTATCTTGGCGGTACTTTTCCAGAATCCCGCCAAAATGACCCACTTGTCAGGTTATACAGTTTTAGGTTATTAGGTTGAGTTAGAAGTTATCTAACTAGGTATTCTAGATGGAGCGGAAGAAGAAGATGACAAAACCCAGAGTCCAGACTAGTGATAACCTTCAACTAATATAGTAAGGTTAATGGTGGATCAATGTTATTATTTTTCTACTTGATTTTCTACAAGGTAAGATCATTATATTGCAAATGTTGTTGATAATCTTGGATCTAAGCAGTACTCGGAAGAAGATGGAATATCGATGTTTCGAAAAAACTTGACCCCTTTGCTAGGGTAGGAAAAACACTACAAAATAAGTTGGGTTTACTCAGTAAAAAAATTTCGTAACGGCATCCGTTATCAAGAAACAATGAGGTTTTGGAAAGAAGATTTTTTAACGCATTTTTCAAGATTATACCTAAACTACTGACGACATTGTGATGAAATTTCGTATGGATGTATCTTGGAATCTGACACATTACATGCATTTGTTTTCATATCTGACTCTCATAGATGGTGCTGGTTACACGGTTCGTACCGAGTAGTTTTGAACATAACTTTTTGAGGTTATATTTCTCAGTCCAAATTTGACGTGAACTTGTACATCATTCAATTTCACATCAAAAAAATACTCTAGGTAAAACTCGATACTGTGTTTCGTTTTCGGAATATTTCGATTTGAAAATGATGAAGTGATAACTGTTGCTGGTATAATGGTAATGGCCCATTCTAGGTGAATATACATTTCAAATCATCTGAGATGAGTAAATATTCAAAAGTGAAGATAATATCGCCACACCTGTTGATATGACACTCGAAATCCAAATCATTCAATCGATAAGATATATTGTACTTATCCAAGTATGATGGCTTAGGAAACCTCTTTTTGAAATACATTTTGGATATTTACATTGCTGATATCACTAATATTGATCTTTTTTATGTAATTCAGATGTTTTGTTTATTCAGATAATGATTCTAGAGTTCAATTGCCCTACTTGGTTTCGAGATAACCTGACGATGGACATCTGAATCGATTCATTTCGCAGTGGAGTGAAGATAATAGGGCAGGAAGAAAATCTTACAGTCAACTCCACCGAAACTTTACTTGATTCAACATTGGAACTGGAACATAACATCAGCAAAAATTATTTGTCACAGAAAGTACTGAAATAAGAAGAACAAAAAGCAATGCCAGGCAAGCATTCAGATGATGAAAGTCAAATAATCCCCACCTGTTCTAGGAGAAAATATTTCACATGATGGAGAACCAAGAATGTAATTTACATATTGAAAATTGTTTCGATGAAAATTGAGGGTCCACAATTGAATGCGGCTCACCTTTGTCAAAATTAATATCCTCATATTCAAGAAAGTCGTTCAAGATTTTTTGCTGAAGTTGGTTGGAGTTCATCACAAAGTGGTTCATTCGAATGTAAATCAATTCACTTGACATCCACAGTACTAACTCGCATAATGATTTGAAACATAACCTTCGACATTACCTGAATATCAATCTTCACATGACTATAGATTCTGCCAGTATAAAAAAGGTGGAGAAGGGATATGGAAATAATCCAGAATCAAGAAAGAGAGAGTACGTTATTGTACACGTACTATATCAATGCACTGATTTCGAAGTTCTGTTCGAATATAAAATTCTGTTTGTCACCTGAAGTTCCAGTGGATGAATCCATCAGACTATACTGTCGTAGCATTTTAGCTGGGATATTCCATTTATATAATGTTGTTATTTCCCAGGCAACCAGATGACCAATGATCACGTCACTGTGACGTCCTTGGTGATTTCATATATGATATGCTCCTAACGCCGATAGAAGTATAACTCATTGGAACAAATCAATTTTATTCGAATCCAGGAATCCGATTGTTCCAATGTTGAATGAATAATTCCCGAATATTGGTGAAATATATTGTAAACAATGTATCAAACGAAAAATCTATAGTATTAACTTCGCATTTGGAGAAAAACTGCGAGAATGTTGAAAGAAGAGGCTTGCACCAGTTTTCCTTAAAAATACATGACAATTTTGACCAAAATGAGGGTTTCATTTAGGAATTTTTAACTTTTGTTTCGAGTGGGGTAACATGGCAAAGTTTGTTTTTTCGGTTCAATCAAAAAAGAAACATCAGGAAAGCACTTTTCATTTCTTCGAATATTTATCGAATGTCTGGATTTTTCTGTCTCCATCTTCTAGGAATTTTGTTCCTTGTTCCGTCTAACTTTGACTTTTTTCGTTATGTTTCTCCTCTGAACTATCGTCAGAACCGATATCATCGAATGATTCTTGTCCCGAAGAGTAAACAAACCCGTTTTGCGTTTGACACCGCTATCTGCCGTGTTGTCTTCGATGTGGCTTGTATCATTGGTGTTCTGTATATTCGCACAAATTTCAAAGAAGTCAATTTGGAATAATTGTGAGATCTTTGGACGAATCGAATCAGTCTCAGCTGTACACTGGAAGACAGATTTCTGCATTCAGAAAATGCCGAAATCTGCATTCCGAAGGATTTTTGGGTTACATCCTTGTTGCCTCAAGGTCTTCAATTATGCTCTGCAATACATTCAAAACAAGACGTGATATTTCGGAGATGCATATTATGGAAGCGATCAAAAGTTCGTCGTGTTACCCGCCACGTTTTCATGTTTCGACAAGTAGTATAAGTATGGAAAGGTTTATAGTGCTCAATAATCTCGAATCCCCGAAAAAAGCTCCATAGCTCTGCAATGCTTTTCGGGATTACTAAATACTAAGCGTCTTCGTTAAATGCTTGAAGCACTAAGCACTCTGGTTCGAAAAATTGCTTGGGAGCACATTGCTCACGAGCACTGAAGTGCTCTAAGTGCTTCAACAGGAACTGGACAGCTCTGGATCGTTCCAATATGCTTGGATTCTCAGGATTTGGTGAAATTTTCTTGGGTCAATATAGGTTGAGAAGTATCATTCTCAAAAAGAAGATACATTACTATGTGCAATAATGATTTTAGAGGAGAGAACTGCTTATAAAATTTGTATCATAGGACAAATCTGAAATTATATTGTATTATTTCATAATATCTGTTGATTTGACATCGTTTTTCGTTTTCATTTCGGAAATGATATCAGCCATCATGTCTTCCTGGATTGAGATATTTGCGTTTGGGATTGAAGGTTTGTCGCACTTGGAAGATTTCGTAGATCTGTAAAGGAATTGGTACATTCGAAAAACAAAAAAAAAACTTACAGATTACGACAACATAAATCCCGGATTCCTCAGATTCGATGGCAGATTGACAGACACGAAGGGAGAATAAGATTTGCAGATATTCAAGATATCTCACCAAGTTCGAAGGAGAGTGAGACATGACTTGGTAAATCAGAAACATTGCCAAATGGTATTTTTTCATCGTTGACCTGGGCCATTGTTCAACAAGAAATGCTTAGAGGGAAGCCACTATGAGAAATTTTATTTGATCACCACCATGATACACGAACTGAACTTTTGAACTATATTGTACGTACTAAGTTCTGACTGTTTCGGAAAATGACAGATATGTCTGTTTTTACAACTTCTGAAAAAATAATTTTCGAGGAAATGGTTCACTCCTATGAGTGCTTGATCCAATCGAAAACAATTTTCCACATTGTTCATTGTTTGTTCAATGTTCATGCTGACATTGAATCTTGAATACTCGTGTTTGGTAATTTTCCTATCATAGATTCAATGAAAAGTCCATGATTGTTGAAGAATTTGATTCAATAGTCGATTCTAGTGGATCCTTCAGCTGAAGGGTCTTGGGTATGTATAAATAACTCAAACTCCTATCAAAATATGTTTATTTTTCCTTACAAAACATTCACAACGACAGAACTAGATCACAGTCTCTTGAATATTCTCTTTGCTTCCATTGCTTCATGTGTTATTATCTGTAAAATTAAAAATTTTGCGTGAACAGGAAATTTCATTTACTTTTGATAACATTGACTGAGCTCATGAACTCATCGAACGAATAATGCAATTCGGGTATATCAAGTACAAAATACAAACATATGGTGGCCGTTAGAACGTAATGCATTGCTAGAGACGTTCTTGAAAGTTTATGTGAACTCTCCTTCGATTCCGTCTATTTGTATACGTATAATTGGCTTTAGTTGCCCTAATTCGGATGACTTGTATTTCTATTCGACGTGTACGATTTCAGCAACATGGAGGAAACTTACACAGCCAGAGGCTGAATGGCCTTCATTTTCCTGAACTCATTTTAAGATTTGGTCATGTTAATTCACTTCCTCGGTTTCCAGACTTCTTCTTACCTAGAAGGAAGTATCCGAGCATATATCCCATATTGAGAAGAATGTTGAAATCTATCCGCATAGGAATAGAAGGAATCGGAGGAGACATGATTATTGGTATAGATTTAACACGTTCAAGACAGCAGAACAGCACAGCTTCACGTCTTACGGCCACCACAAGGCCGATGTTGTTTTGACACACGATTCCAAAACTGTATCTCATTACGAAACAGATTATGTCTTTCTCTGGACTAGAACATGACGAAATTACAACTTTATGTACCTACTAAGTTGTAGTAGCAGCAAATGCTGACCAAGAAGAATATTAGAAATTGATTTATTATAGGTTATTCCACTAAGAGTTAGTACTCATCGTTTATTCCCTCTACTATCGTGGGGATGCGACACTCATTTCAGCGTTCAGAGTAACTCTTCCGCACTAGTGCACTAGTTTTTTCCGCAGTGGTGCAGAAAAGTGAATTTGTTAAATTCCTGGGGTGTACACTGTCATTGATATTAACTTTTGATCTTTTTCCGCACTCTAGTAGAAAATATAGTATACCTTACACATGCGTGAAGTGTCTTTTCTGCACGCGAATGCAGAGAGTCGTTCGGCCATCTGCAATTGCTTGCGGAAGAGCATCACTTTCCGGACATGTTAGGTGAACTAATATTCCACACATGAGTGATATTGAAGAAATTATCCAACTGATATACTACTCATATCATTTATTTCTGCTTCAAATCAGGAAACCTGAAGTTCATTCACTGAACTATCAATTGAACAGTCACGTGGTATCTCAGATAGTATCAAACTACTTTCAAATCTATTCTGGAAGAGTAGATCCAAATTTCGAGAAATGGAATAATTCAACATCTGTCTAAACTGAATAGTTCTGGAATTATAAACAATTTATTGACTTTATCTGGAGTTCGAATGACTATATTTCTCCACTAAACATTGAATGGGGACTTCGCTCCAAGTTGTCAACCTTAAAACCTCTTCCAATGTAGAAGCAACATCATGGAACTTCAATCATGAAATAGCTCCAGGAGTCTACTCAGGTCACAAAAAGGAGTTATTCAGAAAAAAAAAACAATTTTTGTGTACTCTAGTGCTGATTAGTTGAAAATTATGTTGATGCACCTGCTTTCATTCTGAAATATGTCATATTGTCGTCAATTGCATTATACTTGTCATATTTTTGTTACATATTTAAGATTATTCATGGACAACACTATTATTCATCATATTTGATGAAGAAGTTGGATCATTGCATTAGGAAGTTGGAATATATTTGACGATCCCAACAGGACTTAGTAAGAATAAAAAAATGAAGCGTCAACTTTCTGAAATGAGAAATAACCCTAAGTAGTGTCCTCAAGTGCATAAAACCATACCTGTTTGGAAACGAAGAAATCACAGTCGATATCATGAATAAAAATATTAAGATACCTATGTAATAATAAGCGTTTTCCTACTGAAATAATGACAATAGGGAAATGAAATCATTCAATAATAGTATATTGTTTAACGATCACGGAATGATAGTGATTTCCAATCATTCGAGTAGGAAATTAGTATTCCTTTTGTAGATGCTTCCTTTAAGATAAGTTTCTGTAGGTGATTCAGAAATTCACATATTTTTTCCACACCAATAGATTGGTATGTGTTTTTTCCGATGCTGAAAGCTTCTTCTTGATTATATTTGAATACGGAACTATTATTTTCTTCCTCATCTATCTCTCCACTTATTCACTAGAATTGTATTGCCGTGCAACTTACACCACGAGTTCGTCAGGGGTGGTGGTATTGCAGTACGGCAACACAAATACAACATTATGAAAAGATATTCAGAACAGAGTGGTATTCTGCTAGACTATTTCACGTTCACGAAGCATGGAAAGCATTTATTAAAATCAGTGATTCATTCTAACTAGTACAGTCATCATTATTTCATGCCAAAGACTTTGCTTCCTTTTCCATAATCACATCGTTGAAAACATGAACGCTGATAGAGCAATCAGAATTGAAAGACAAAGCTAATGATTTGGGATGAGCACACGTTGTCTCTGGCTTGTGATTGGTCAGAGTATGTGATGAGTAGAATAGTTTTTATAAGTTATTGCAAATCTTATGAACATACCGCTTCCATCCCAGCTTCACTGAAGGTATACGTCCTTTTGTAGTTCTCTCCGTTATAAATAGATGATACTGTGATGACGTTGCCTTGTTTCGATGCAGTACTCTGGAAATCAATGACAACAAAAATTTCAGTAATCTACAGTTCTCAACACACTAAATGGACCACTCATGATTTGACTCTATTCCGAAGACCTGTATTTTTTTCAAATTGACCTATCTTCATGCGATTTTCGATATCAGATGAGATTTTTCCTCTTCTACAAAGAGAGCTAGACCACTCTGGAAAAGTCCGCAGAACAATACTTTAACAGGGTGTAAAGTGGAACCATTACACTATGGTCTACATTTCCAATGCCGCCAGAACTCGAGATTTTTTTTTCTGATCAAAAGTCAGTCATATCATACACTGGGACCTTATCTCGGGACGTTCTCGTGATTTCTCCTTGATTGGCTATTGGAACAGAAATTCGATTTTTTTTTTTTCGAAAGCCTTGTGTGATAAACTCAGTTATCCTCTCAGGTTCCTTTATAATAAGTCAAAAGGATAAGGAATAAAACATCTCGAAGTCGATTGATTTCGTCTATTCGTTCGCAGTTAGATGTTAACAAGACCAGAGTCAAGACTCGAATTCATTCACACTGTGTCCTAAATCTGAATACCATGTTTAATTATCTATTCATAAACACCTTACCTAATTATTAATATTAAAACAATATCTGCATCGAGAAGAGCTGTACGTAGCAGTTTCGTGGTGTTCCAAATTAATTGTTTAAAATATCAAAATTGTTATTGTTTCGAAATATCGATTGCTATACCAGTACACCTCCCCCGATGACGAAAAAAAATTGTAAAATTTTTTTTTTCACTCAATAAACAATTTAATCCTATTTTTATGAATTTCAACTAACCTATTGTCTATCCTAACTACAACATTTGGTTCTTTATCTTCTACTACAACAAATGGACCTTTGAATATAGGATCATATTTATGAGTAGACGTGTTTCTAACTAAGACCTTATCACCTAGTTTAACATTAACAGAATTCATTTTTGTATCTAATTTTGTTTTTCGTTTCGTTTTTGATACCATTAAATTATTTCTTGCGTCATCCCAAGCTGTTTGCAAACGAAATTTCAACTGAATTGGGTAATCGTCGAAGTTATATACAGGGTCGCTTTGACTAGCAATGTTCGATGGTAATCGACTTGTTTTCCCAAAAACTAACTCGTATGGAGTATAACGAGTCTCGGTGTGAACTGTATTATTATAGGCAAAACACCAATATGAAATCCACGAGCTCCAGGTATCTGGATGCTTTGCTGCATGTATACGCAAATAAGCACCTAGATGTTTATGCTTGTTTTCTAAAGCTCCCATGGTTTCATGATGATATGCGGTTGAATTTAGCTGTTCGATTTTCAACAGTTTGCATGACTCTTTGAATGTAGACGCTAGAAATTCGGTACCTTAATCTGTCAAAACTTGTTCTGGAATTCCATATCGCAAAATAAAATTTTCCACGAAAGACTTCGCAACAGTTATTGACTCTTTATTCTCTAATGGATATCCTTCGACAAATTTTGTTAACTCACATTGCAATGTCAAAATGTATCGATTATTTTCCTTGTCTTGTTCTAAGGGGCCCACCAAGTCAAGAAAAACTTTCTGAAACGCTGAATTTGCAGTTGTGGTAATTTTCATTGGTTGTTGATGCGGCCTTGAGTACTTATGTCTCTGACAGTCATCACAACGTTTAACGAAATTTTCGATATCTTTTCGAAGTCCAGACCAAAAATAAAGTTTCCTAATATTATTATACATCCGATTAATACCAGCATGACCTCCTGTTGGTAACATGTGGTAATCGTTCATAATCAATTGTTGGATTTCTTTTCCAATAATGTGTTGCTGAGCTTTTATTACATTTATTTTTATACCGGTATTTTTCATTTCATTGGGAACTCTCAAAATATTATTCAATAACGATGCGCATCTATTATTTTTAATTATTACCAATTCTGGAATTCCATATATTTCGCAAATTTTCTTCAGGTCTCTCAACGATGCACGGAATGCAGTCGTTGATCGAGTTTCATCCTGATTCAGATAAATTATATTTGCCTTTTCATCATAAAGAATATTCCCTATTTTAATACACTCAGCAACCTTTTTTCTTTCAAATTCAACTTTCGATAAAGGATACAATTGTACAAATTCTTTAGGTGGTTTCAAAAGTTCTACGACACCAGGGTGATCAAGCCTGTTATCAGTAGGACCATTGGAATTTCCCTGTGAATTATTGTTCAATTTTTGGTTTTGTGCTCTTGTCATAACATTCACCATATGACACGAATTTTTCGACATTTCTTTCAAGTTATCGGAATCAATTTTTATACGACTCAGTGCGTCGGCAGTAACATTATCTCTTCCTTTGACATAATTTATAGTAAAATCATATTCTTCGAGCGTTAACCTAAATTTAGTAAGTCTGCTTGAAGGGTTGGTCATGCCGAAAAGATATAATAATGGTTTGTGGTCCGTGAGAATAGTGAACCTTTTACCGTATAAATATGGACGAAACTTTTTCACACTCCAACATATAGCAAGTAGTTCTTTTTCTATAACACAATAATTGACTTCAGCTTTATTCAGTGATCTGCTAGCGAAAGCAACAGGTTTGTCATCTGAATTTGATAAAACTGCACCGATCGCATAATTTGAAGCATCAGTTCTTGAAATAAATTCATTATCTTCTGAAAAATCAGGATATGCGAGAATTGGTGGTTGTACCAAGGCTTTTTTCAGTGTTTCGAATGCTATCTGACATTCTTCATCCCAATTGAAGATTACACCTTTCTTTGACAATCTATTCAATGGAGCTGCGATTTCAGCAAAATTTCTGATAAATTTCCTATAATAATTTGCAAATGCTACAAACCGTTTAGTTTCATTCGAATCTTTTGGAGTCGGATATTCTTGCATGACACGTATTTTCTCAAAATCTGGAGATATTCCTTCAGATGAGATCACGTGACCCAGATATAATATCTGTTTTTTCAGAAATTCGCATTTGTAAGGATTCAATTTCAAATTTACTTGTCTCAAACGATGTAACACTTTAATTAAATTTTGATTATGACCTGTCAAATTATTACCAAAAACTATTAGATAGTCCAAATGAATAAAACATTTTTCGTAGTTCAACCCTGACATAGCAATAGTCATCGCACGGGAGAAAGCACTTGGACTCAGTTTCAACCCCATAGGTAATCTCGTCATTTGATACTGACCTCTATCAGTCGTGAAACTTGTATATGGTCTAGATGATGAATTCAACTCAATTTGATAATAGCCTTGCGATAAGTCAAGATGTGAGAAGTACATTGCTCCCGAAAGTGAATCTAAAATTTCGTCTATACAAGGTAATGGAAATTTATCATCTTCAATACGTTTGTTTAAGAGACGATAGTCGATAACTATCCTCCATTTCCTGTCACCATTACTGTCTGATTTCTTCGGTACCACTAATAATGGTGCTGACCATTCAGATCTCGTTTCCTCTATAATCCCATCTGACAACATTTTATCAATTTGTTTATTTATTTCTGCTTTCTGCGAATGCGGTAGACGGTACGGTTTCACATATACCGGAGTCGCATCTCTTTTCAAATGTATTGTCTGTTTACAAACATTTGTTACCGTCAACGGGTCATTTTCCAAACAAAACACATCTGCATATTTAGCACAAATTTTATGAATAGAAATTTTTTCATCATCATTTAACATTGATAGAATTAAGCAAAGTATCTATACGATCTACTGAAAATTGTGTATTTCCGAAAGTATGAACATCAAATTTTGAAATATTTTCAGTTTTAGGTTTGAAATTTTTCAACTTCACTGCCCTTTCAGTGACATTTAAAATTCTGACTGGTATGATCTTATCAATAGGTTTTGTAATAATTCCAGCAGTATAAACTCCCTCGGAAATCTCTTCTGGCATAATAATACAATCATCTGAAGTTTGTACTTGATAATATTTAATAATTTCACATCTTGGTGGAATGGTTGTATAATTATCATACTTGGACTGAAGTGGAATTGAAAATTTATTATCGTCTAAGCAAAATGAAAATGTGAATAATTCATAATTCAATATTGCAGAGTATTTAGCAAAGAAATCTGATCCAATGACGCCGTTCATATCACTTCCAAAGTCATTCACCACATGAAATTCATGACCTACCTCACCATTAGGTAATTTTAATAAGATATTCGCTGAACCTAGCGTAAAAACTGAACCAGCTATACCGTTTATTTTTATTCTATTCGTAGTGTCAACATACTGATTTTCATTAACACTTGATGCAAAAATTACACTCACAGAAGCGCCCGTATCTAATAAAAATGTCAAGTCATTCATTCCGTTTTTCAAGCATACGTAATTCAAAGCATTCATACATAACACTTCACAATCGCCTTCATTCTTACTGTGAGTCACGAAAAAACTGATTGGTTTGTTGGGAAGGGTTGTTTATATCAGCATCCTGAGTATTCTCCATGAGAAATCCTCTTTGAGTTGTTGTTGAAGTTCGGTAGTTATTATTATTCAACCGTCCTCTTGAATTTCCTCTAAAATTTCCCCTAAACTGTCCACGGATTTGACCTCTGTAATTATTGTTATTGAAATTTGAGGCATTACCCCTAGAATTATTGCAATTTGAGTTGTTGAATTGTTTAGGTCTAAAATTTGGTCTTCCACGCCAATTCTGTTGGTATCCTCGACTCATTGCGTTATTATGGTGACTGAAATTTATTCTTCCGCGCATGTGAAAAACTTGTGACGAGGATGATGCACCCCTCGAATTTTCCTCATCGGTTGCACCACTTATCGCATCTTTCAATTGATTATAATTTCTAGCCTTTATAACTGTACGCAGATCATGATTTCGCAAACCGTTCGCAAAAGCATTGATGGCAAGTTTTTCATTCGTACCTTTGAGGACTCTCATCGCCTCGTCATCACCATCGGACTGTGCTAATGTCAACTGGACCAGTAACTGTTCGATTGATTTCCCAAACTCATCTACTGATTTATCTTTTTGTTTAGCGCTGTGTAATTCAATTGATAAACTCGCAGCTGAATGTTTCGTTAATAAATGATTTTTCATGTCCCTAATCAAATCAGCATTTGATAGATATGTCGAATTCAATCTCATTTTAGCGCTTTGTGATAGTCTAGTTTTGAGAACATATTTTGTTAGAAATTGTTTTCCATCATTATCTAAAAGGCTATCGTATAATTCAATGGCATCGATTAACTGTTTCACTGATTCCTCACTATCGTTGGTTATTGATAATAAGCTTGATGCTGTTCTGAGATCGAATTTTTCACCCATATTTACAATATTATTAGTTACCTCCGTGCTATTACTAATAATAGATAATCTTGTCTCTAGTGTTTTTTTTATTTCAACTAATAATTTCTCGGATGCTTCCACATATGGTTTAACTTTCTGTATAATTTCTGAATTATTCGACCCTTTCTTAAATCTATTCTTCAATTCAATAAAATCTGATTCTATCCTATTCACTTCCTCAAACTTATGATTTATGACTCTTAAATCTACACGTCTCTCTTGATTATCTTTCACTAAATTCCTATTAAAAACTTTAAGTTCCTCAAATAAATATCTAAGTAAATCTACTAGGCTCATCGGTTATCATGAGAAAGAAAAGATAGTATGAAAACTTATTACTTATGACTAATTACATACGACTTTGATAGCTTCTTATCTCTTCAGTATCCAGTCTCTATATTGGTTGCTCCATGTAGGTAGTTATGAATCACAAGTCTTCATGTGATAACTCGCTGAACTTCTGAACAGGATCATTATACCAACTCCTATTAGATACACACAAAGTGCCAAAATGCAAAAAACAAATGCCACTATTCCTATGCTTTCGGCGGCCGAGAATCCATTACTTTTACCATCAGCTGACACGCCATCACTGTTTCCTGCTTGGTTTACGATGACTTCTCCTTTGGATTGCGTAGATCCCATTTTAGATGATGTTACACTGCACTAATTTCAAGTTCTCCAGCCTCTACATGCTAATATATCGTGCATAGTAGGAGGACTGGCAGGATCGCCATGTGATAAACTCAGTTATCCTCTCAGGTTCCTTTATAATAAGTCAAAAGGATAAGGAATAAAACATCTCGAAGTCGATTGATTTCGTCTATTCGTTCGCAGTTAGATGTTAACAAGACCAGAGTCAAGACTCGAATTCATTCACACTGTGTCCTAAATCTGAATACCATGTTTAATTATCTATTCATAAACACCTTACCTAATTATTAATATTAAAACAATATCTGCATCGAGAAGAGCTGTACGTAGCAGTTTCGTGGTGTTCCAAATTAATTGTTTAAAATATCAAAATTGTTATTGTTTCGAAATATCGATTGCTATACCAGTACACTTGCATCTCTTGATTTTTTCCTATAGAACTCAACTTGAGCTGACTATTGGAAAGAACTATTCTCATGTTTTGTGGAGGACAATGAAAGACGGAAAAAGCACTTTTTTGGAATATACGGGATGACAAGAAAATGGGACAAAATCTCATTTCAGTAAAAAAAATCGAAAATGGTGACTAAAAACCATGGCCCATTCGATTCAGTATATTCAGAAACCTCCTTCTCGATATCCATTATTTATATTAGACTTTCAAATAGAGACGTTTTCGAAAATTCGACTCTAATTGAAATATAGGATAAAAACTTTCAATTCAAACTTGTTTCTTGTTATCGATTATTCTTATCAACTGATTTCCAATATTCTTTGCCCAAGTATGAGACACATAGTATTGTTGTTCAATATACTGAGTGTTTCCCAACTTATCTGACGAATTACGAACGAAAGAATGGGAGGCAATATCGATAGACTTCATCAACAAAACAACCTCATAGAACCTATGCCAAACCGATTTCACCGATATAGAACTCTCTAGTTGGATCTTCATAATGCTGAAGAATTCACTAATGTCATATTTCGCAAATAGTGTTATGAATTTTATTTTCAATCACGTTTTACTTCTATAAAATTATTATGTGATCGACTTCTCATGTAATATTGTAGTTGTGGTTGAAATTTGTCAGATAAGTTGTGAAACACTCAGTATATTGAACAACAATACCCTCTGTCTCATACTTGGGCAATAAATATTGGGAATCAGTTGATGAGAATCATCGATATCAGGAAACGAGTTTGAATTGGAAATTTTCTTCCTGTTTTTCAATTATAGGTGAATTTTCGAAAACGTCTCGAGTTGATAGTCTAATATAAATAATGGATATCGAGAAGGCCGTTTCGGAATATACTGAATCGAATGGGCCATGGTTTTAGTCACCATTTTTGATTGTTTTTACTGAAATGAGATTCTGTCCTATTTTCTTATCATCCTGTATATTCCACGATAGTACTTTTTTCGTCTTCCATTGTCCTCCACAATACATAAGAACAGTTCTTCCCAATAGTCAGCTCAATTAGAAAAATTTCAAGAAATGCAAGACTTTCGAAAAAAAAAAACGAATTTTTGTTTCAATGGCCAATTAGGGAGAAATCACGAAAATGTCCCGAGATGAGGTCTCAGTGTATCATAATATGACTGATTTTTTACAGAAAAAAATTTCTCGAGTTCTGGCGGCATTGGAAATCTAGACGATAGTGTAATGGTTCCACTTTACACCCTGTGTAAGTTTTGTTCTACGGACTTTTCCAGAGTGTTCTAGCTCTCTCTGAAGCCGATAAATATCACATCTGATATCGAAAGCTGCATGAAGATCGGTCAATTCTTTCAAGAAATACAGGTCTTCGAAATAGAGTCAAATTATGAGTGGTCCATTTAGTGTGTTGAGGACATGTTCCAATATTCGTACTGGTCCTTCTCGAAGTTCAAAAATATAAAGGGAGTATAGAGGAAATGATATTACATTTATACAATACCATTGTGTATCAAATCATGAAATTATTTTTTAGGTCTAATCACCTTTGCTTCGAGTCCGAGAGGATGTTTTTCGATATTTTCTTTGTCGAATTCCAAGCTGGTTTGTTGATTGGAGCCTTCGTTAGTCATGACGAATTTCTGATCATCAACAGTTACCGAGCAAACCACATTCGAGTCATTTGCTTTTTTTGCCTTGTCTTCAGGAATGCCAGCTGTGTACAAAATATAATATAATGGAAACTTTGAACTCAATCTGAATTCTCGAAATTCATCATGCCGCAAGGAAATTTACTATAACTTTGGACCAACCCACTTACCGCAATTGTACTCAATACCCCATTCATAGGGTAGGTATGTATGAGGAAAGTACACGAATCGTCATTTGAAAAATGGGTGGCCACTTGATGGTCTCTCATTTACTCGATGGTTGATCTTATTGTACTGCAAAATAGAAATATTCACTTACCCTTCAACATGAATTCCAAGTAGTTGACATTATTAGTGAGTTGATATCTTCCAGAGAGTTGAACCATTTTGATGGGCAGATGATTGATGACTTGATGCACGTATCAGGATTGGATGTTGTGTGATATTTTTTACTCAATGACACTTATATATAGATATTTATTTGGAATTTGATAAGAATATAATTTGTTCTGATAATATACTATCTCAATTTGAAACGGTATCAATAGGTGAATACCTACCTAGATATAAGAAGATGATACACAAAATTATGAAACGCAGGTTTTTGAAATGCAACAAGTTTCAACATAATCTCTGGTAGAAGTCCATCTTTGCTCAAATTGGAGTGACATTTTTCAAAAGGAAGGAGGAGAGCTCGAGGTCATCTCCACTACTTCATCATTGATGTAAATCAAGCAAGGGGATATGTTTCGGACTTATAGAAGTCTATCTTCAGTCGTTTTCAGAAGTTACTACAAGCAAAAAGACATGTGAGAATAAACATATTATGAAAGAAGCAGAGGTTGACTTTCATGGAGGTGAAACAGAATTCCAAATTGGACACCGATATCAATCATCATAATATCGTGGTTATATTGGTGGAAAGACGGGTTGAGAATGAACGGGTTTTCATCAAAAATGAGGGGCCCCGTGCCCTAAAAACGCGCACTTATAAAACCAAAGATGCTCATAAAAACCATATTAGGCTGCAAACAGGAAAAAAGCAAAGGGTCCCGTACCCTTGAGGAAGTGCACTTGAAATTCAAAAATCAATAAGAATTGATGGAGCTATGCCAAAATTGTGTGAGATCCAACCTCAGTTTAAAAACACGGAAATGAATTTATGAACAATGGCATAAGTGACTGTCTTAAATGACATAATATTACTACAAGTGGCATAGGGCACAAAACTAAAGCAAATAATTAAACACTGGGATGAACGTGAATTCAGCTAGTGAAAGTACAGTTAGAAATAATTCCTTCAGGAATGACAATGAGGAATTGGTGGGGAGGGGGGTATATTCTAACAATAATTGGTGAAAAAGCAAATCTGGAAATATAAACAATTGAAGAAGAGAAAGCAGGTACAGAAAAACATAAAGGTAAATCTGTTTTTTGATGAACTCTAGTGAATTGAAGAATTTTATACATTCATAGTCTACCTGTTCATCAAGTGATGTGACAGAGTCATTGTTCGTAAAAGAATTTATCTCAAAAATCTCCATTAGATTCAATAAGGTGCCTTCTTCACAAACTTGTGAAGATTTCAGATCTTGATTCATATCAAAGTTATGTTCAGAATTTAGTATGTGGTTGGCAAATGAACTCTTGGTATAATACTTATCTGAAATAGAAGGAAATTTTTTAAAATTTCTGGGATTTTGACATGCTCCATGACTCTAGTTGAAATCATTCTACCACTTTGGCCTACACACTGTGCATAAATCCGGTGTGAGTGACCTATAATTTTATTATTATTGGAGATAAAGAGAAAAAAATTCAGGGGTTGTGTAATATATAGTTCAATTCACATAATTCGAAATATCTACTTGCTTTGTTATTCTTCTGGTTTGATTGGTAATGACCCCAACCTACCATTTTCAAATGAAACATCCAATATATTCGAAGTAATTTCGATTCAGACTGAAATTCTAGATTCAATAATACCTCACTTGTCGATATTTGACAGATAAAGTAATTTTCATTAAAATTTCCATTTTTGATGTAGAATGCAATGGATCGTGTTAAATGCATCATCCTTGATCAGATGATATAGAAAAAAAACGACTCTGAGGCATATTACACCAGATATGAATTCTTCGAATCGACTTGACAAAACCTCCAATTTCTTCTTCATGTATCTTCAAAACTAGAGAGATGTATAGGGGGGGGGAGCCTTCTTAGAGAAACACAAAGTACCTATACAGGCTTCGTACAGACACGTAATTCAAGTGTTCACCAGATGGTGGCAAGTCATTTTTCAGGAAAAAATGCGCCACAGACGAATTTTCATCGGACCCACGGTCAAATGTCTCTTTTGAAATTCGCTTCTTTTCATAGTAGCAACAGCTTCATCACATACCTTAGTTTCATATTCTTATTCTGTTGTTATTGAAATAAAATAGAGCATGAGGAAAATAAGTCAAATACTATTTGTAGGTAAACCGAGGAGGGGCATGTTTATTTCTGGAAATTTCAGAGATTATCTCTCATATTTTCTTCTAATACAGGAAGCCCAATTCGCATACGAAGCCTTGTTCCAAACCTATTTAGTGACAAGCGACAAGATCTCTAAGAATTTTGAAATCCGAGTTATTCGAGATATTTGAACACATAGCCTGTGGCGAATACTTCGTACCAATTCATATTGTCGAGATCTGTGAGTGTTCGCAACAAGTTATTCCAAATATTCGCACACATGAGCTTGTGGTGAAAGATTCAAGAGATTTGCACCAATCTCTTCACATCACGAGCCGTTGAAGCTGTTCCTCGAGAGGTTCTTGAATCCATTCGAGTTACCAAGGATTTTGATTTATTCATTTCTTGCCAGCAGTCGCTCGTTGGCATAGTGAATTGAAGTTGAATTTACCATTTGTGCCAGCCAGGGAACTCCGTAAGCTCACGGGCTCCAGCGCCTATATAGGAAGTCAAGGTGAGTTGATATATATGTGGAGAATTATATTTTGCCTATTTGTATCAGAAAAACAGGACATTACTTGAATTCGGTGCGAAACTATATAGATGATATTTTGATGTTATCGCCTGAAATTCACCAGCAACTTACCTTTACTGACCCACCAAACGATGTCCCACTATGCGAAAACAAACCCAGAGCTGGACTTGGGAAACTCTTTTTTTTTAGTGTCAAAATTAAACTTTCTGAATCGTATTTTTCAAAAACTTACATCAGAATCAGAGAAATCAGAAAAAACACTACAAGTGTAGCTTTTCAATTTGTACGGCACACATCGACTGGGATGGTGAATAAATATCGAAGAACATACTGATGAACGACTCCATGTTTTCGTACTGGCTATTGTATCACATCGGTCAGAATATTCATTCAAAATCATGAGAGATCATCCGAAGATATGCAGAAAATGTATAGAAATTGAAGGAGGACATTTTGAGGATCTTCGTTGAACAATATCAGGATACAGACAAATCTTCTTCTGGAATTATAATGTTCTGTATTTCTTTCGTGGCGTCGGTTGGAGAGTGATCAAAAGAATAACGATTCCTCTTTATTCTGGAAGAGACTCAAACTATACAAAAATGAAATGTTATGTGAAACTCTTGTTATACCTACGCCGATTTGTGTAAATTTCCACAATAATAGTTTTTGGAAATCAAAGAGCGCCAATATTATGTGGTTCAAATTGAAAAACTCCTATGAGAATGGAGTGAGTGTGTTTGAACGGTGTTGATTTATTCGTGACTAGATACGGAATTGGTCATATTCTAGATGATCTTGTGATCTGGATTAGTGCCAAATATTCAGACCACAAAGCGATGTCACACCGCGTTAATTTTTTCAAAGTTCACATTTTGATTTGTTTGCTATGATATAATGTCAAAATATCGCTAATTGTTTGTGATACCGACTAAATATTGAATTCACACCGTGAACCGCCAAACACAACATGCAATCAGATAATGTTTCATTACCAAACATATTCAATAAATTTCATACTCTAATCTCGTCTTATGATCTGAATTACGGAGAAGTGATTTCGATAACATTTTGATGTCGTTTACCTAAGTGAATATCTTGGCAAAATCAATAAGAAAGTCATTTTTATCACATTTTCATAGCAACAAAGTATAATTTTCGCAGTACACGAGTTTAGATGTCAGTGATCTCAGTTGAAGTGTAATCAAATCTTTATTCAAAGATGGTTGATTCTGATAGACACATGGACGGCGTTTATCGTTTAACAAGAAATGAGAATTTTCGTGAACATTTGATGGCACAAGGTAGGAAATTTTCCATTTCTAGTTTGGGTATCGGATTTTTCATTCATTTATCCAAATTGAGTATGCTCATCTTCGGTTTATGACTCTGTTGGTTCTCAATAGGTAAGTAAAAACATTGGTGTTCAAATAATTATAGTAGACAAACAGTATTGATTTGAATGATGAACATGACAGAGGATAAAAAAAAGAGAATGGGAAACGTTTCTGCTCAGCGCTTAAATTCAAGTGGCCGATTCTTTGACCCATTTCAAGAATGAAACTTCATATGAACGTATGTCGTAAACGTCCTAGCTTTTGAGAAACAGGGTGTCAATGTTGAAAATATATGGATAGATTATTTGTTTGTTCACCCTGTATAGCTTCTCGTGATGGAAAAATTCAGTCTGCTTTTTGACTGAATACAAATTTCAAAATGTTACGTACTGTGGTTATCCAGTAATGGATGTCCTGAATTATAAGACATCAAAATTTGAAGTCTGTTCTCGTTTTTCCGTTTCTCCTCGTAAACGAAGCGTTCTATCGAGTATCAACAGGTTTATCCTCTATGTTCATAACTAAATAACCTATTTTTGACATTGTATGAAATTTGAAAAATCTTTGTCGTTGCTGACTTTTAAGTAAAATATAAACAATAACATTCCCGTAACGGTGCCACTGGTAGAGAAAATGAAAATTTTTGTGGATCAGAAAATGCACCTTGATACATGAAAACATCTTCATGGTATACGTTCCATGAAGATGTATACAATATTTTCTCAGTTATTATCAAAAAACTGAATATTTTTCAAAATTTCATTACCCTGTATCTCAAAAGTTGAGACTTTCTGGACATACGTTCATGTAAAGTTTTCTTCTTAAAATAAGTCAACGAATCACTCTCTCAAATATTAGCATGTCTGCGAGGAACACCCTGTATAACTCGAAAACACCTTCAGTGCTTATTTTTCTGTTTTTGCTGTTGCGAAACGGAGTTGAGAAATAGTTCTCAGATCACTTGAAAAAATTGATAGTGTTGAACGATTTTGAATCATGGGCGTCGATAAAGAGGGGGGAATGATAATTACCCTTCCTTAAGAATTATAATTTTGTGAGATAGATGATGGATATGATAGACGTGTATGGTGGTTTGTTTGTTCAAACAAGTTGAGGTCAGTTCTTAATTCTAATATAATGTGCCCGTGTAAAGTCCGTTCTCCACCTACTAATTTTTGAACAACCTGGTATATCGCAACGAAATTAGGAAGGCTCAAATAGTAGATGAAAACCAATATCTTGATGGGAAAACGACAGCTCAAACTCTAAAAATGGTGCTATATAACTCGGTATATAATTCTATTATCCAAATCCCAATATTCACAGAAGTATATACCTACTGAACTCGATATTTTTCGGAATATTTATGTCTGAAAGGTGACATTTCGGTACTTTCAAACTCAAGAATAACTCTGATGTTGCTTTCAATTATTTCGCATTAGAAGAAAAAAACATTGTTGAAGTAACACAAAACAACATTGAGTCCCACCCTATCTTGCTATTCATCTCATTTATCAATAAGGTTTCTGTAGCGCAGTGGTAAAGGTGTAAGGATTGTAAAAATTCAATCAAGAGAGACTATAGGTTCGATTCTCCAGCAGTAGTAGCTCTTTTTTTAATTTTGGAATGGATTATTTGCAGCGATTGAATGTGCGCAAAAAGCTTTGGAAGGGTTGTGTTGTGAGCATGAAAAGGCTCTCAAAAAGATCAGGTAGAATGTATTATTGTGACATCCCAGGGATATCATTATGAAGGCCACCTACGGCGGACATCGGCTGTTATATGAAAGTTATATTCAAGTGTGAAAAGAACATCGCAGTGGAGGTTCAATGTCTCGACATCTCGTACTTTTAACATCTCTGAGATGTTTTTGTGCTCGCTGGATAACGTCTACAGCACTAACTTTTTGACAAATTCATCATTCTCTATACAGAGTCTTGATTCACTTCATCAACATTGACACTATAGTTGAATAAGAATGCCAATACCTACTTTCTCTTTCTATCCTCCCTATAGGTACGCACGATGTTATTTGATCATGATAGGGATCAACTTTCGTCTCCAACAGATCAAAAAACTACACTATGCTCAGTTATGAAATATGAGATATTTTTTTGCAGGAATAGATGAGAATAAAGCACAAGAAGTAGATCAACTACGACCTTTACTCAAGATAAACATAGAAGGTAACGATGTTACAATCAGTACTGAGATGGAGTCGGGTTCAACAACGTCAATTTTAAAACTGGATGAGGAAGTTGAAGAGATGATTGCATTGGACATGACAATAAAGGTAATGTATAATGTATAATGTATAATGTATAATGTATAATGTATAATGTATAATGTATAATGTATAATGTATAATGTATAATGTATAATGTATAATGTATAATGTATAATGTATAATGTATAATGTATAATGTATAATGTATAATGTATAATGTATAATGTATAATGTATATTGTATATTGTATAATGTATAATGTATAATGTATAATGTATAATGTATAATGTATAATGTATAATGTATAATGTATAATGTATAATGTATAATGTATAATGTATAATGTATAATGTATAATGTATAATGTATAATGTATAATGTATAATGTATAATGTATAATGTATAACGTATAACGTATAACGTATAACGTATAACGTATAACGTATAACGTATAACGTATAACGTATAACGTATAACGTATAACGTATAACGTATAACGTATAACGTATAACGTATAACGTATAACGTATAACGTATAACGTATAACGTATAACGTATAACGTATAACGTATAACGTATAACGTATAACGTATAACGTATAACGTATAACGTATAACGTATAACGTATAACGTATAACGTATAACGTATAACGTATAACGTATAACGTATAACGTATAACGTATAACGTATAACGTATAACGTATATCGTATAACGTATAATGTATAATTCTATAATGTATAAAGTATGTTTCAAACAAGTTTGGAATTGAACTCGATAAGGCAATGTGGTAATGATCAATGTTTATTATTTATTATGTGTGAGTATATCCATAGTATATATAAATTTAACACTGGAGTGAATATAATTCGCCCCTTTTCACAACCAGTCGTAAAATTGCACTCTACTGCCTCTTTCAGTGCGCGTGAAGTAGCGATTCAGCTTCCTTGGATATAAAAGGAGTTAAGCAGGCATTTGAATATTTTCACTCATTATCTCTTTCAATCTTTGATATTATCCGCCAGTGAACTAATGTTAATTGAATGTACGGCTGTGCAAGATATGGTCCTCATTTATTATAATGAAGGTTTTCAATGATCCCAGAGTAGTTTTGAAATAATGATATGCATTTTCCAGATTCCATTCCATTCTCAAAAGAGTTATCAATTGATGTATAACTCTGGTTGGAGAAATTGGAAGTGGTTGTGATTTGGCCACAAATATGTATTATTCGCTTGTTCAATTTTTTAGCTAAACTACAGCATCAATTATCACTCACAATATCCCAGGGCTATTGATAATTTCGGAATAATTTGTCGAATGCTTTAAAAAGCGGGATGCTTTGAGGCAACAGCCCTTCGACTTCGGCGAGAATTTATCAATACTTCATTACCATGGTGATTCGATTTTTCAACAGTGATCGGGGCACTTATCAGTTAAATGTTTGTCTGATTGGCTAATACTGGTCACTTGGTCACAAATACGTAGATATGATAGGTTCAAATCATATGGAAAATATGTTCACCCACAGAATGTTTTTGGTGTCTTCTCTACATTTTCATGACTCTATACCAAGACTGAGATTGTTTTTCCCATCTTACAGAGTAAAAGCACAATGGAAGATAACCGGCTGAAAATTCATTCTGAAGGACCAAATGGTGAAGTTGGAATAAGAATATTTGAATTTTCTGAAACGGGAATGATAATGGTGAGTATATACGAAGATTCTAGAATATACAAAGTCTTTTTCTGGACGAGTGAAAGACTAAACAGTGCTTTTCGTTAATGCCCTCCTCCCTTTTATTTTTCGAACGAGTCAACTGAAATTATTCCAACCTGGGATAATTAAATTGATGCATTTGATGATTTTGAAGTGAGATTGACAGGTGAAAATTCCAAGATGGCGACTGGGTGCCATCTGGGAGAAATATAATAGTTTCCTGAATAAAATATATCTCTATGGATATCGTATTCCAACAAGACAAGTTGTCAACATTTGGATTACGATTTTTCTGATCGTTGGATTGGCCGGCGAAGACCAACGGAATGACCAGTTTGCTTGCCAGACTTGACACCTTCAGATGTGTTTTCAATGGAATATCCAATGCGAAATGTGTACGAAATTGCACTTGCTTCAAAATTAGATATACGACTGAAAATGATGAATATTTGTAGAAATATCGACGTAACTGTGTTCGAAAGTATTCGGCGTAAAATATCGGATATGGGCTGTTCTTATTTCAAGAAGTTCAAGGCATCCATTTCGAGCATCTTCCGAACTGAACTCGGCTTTTTTTCTCAAATTATGAAGTAAATGTCGATGTATTCAGGCAATTATCACATGTTCCGCCATTTTGTAGTAGGTGAAGATATCGACTTCATATTCTATAGGGTTGTGAAGTATTCGTGAGGAACTTCAGAAGGATGTCAAACAAGTTCCCCCCTTCTAATAATCTTTTTGGTCCCAGATTGCACCCAGTTGGCATCTCGAAAATTCCATCTGTCAATATGAGTCCAAAATATAGAATTCAAGCATCAATTTCTTTACACAAAGTTTCATTTTTCTCAGTCGACCTAATACAAAATATGAAAGGGGTGAGCGACATTGAAGAAAAGCACTGTATATACAGGGTATTTCAGTTTTTTTTAACAGGAGTTAGAAATCTCATGTGAACATATATGCATATGAGCCCCATTTCCAATATACAGGAGATATAAAATTTTTATTTCTCGTGTTTTTCAAGTTTCGCTCGCCATTCTTTAACACATAATATTAAAGCTTTTGAATATTTCATCAAGTCTTCTAGTCACTTATTAAGAAATTTTGAATAAGAGTGTGTTCGGAAATGAAGTTTTATCAGAGAGAAACTATTTCTTTGCATTTATCTCGAAATCCATTCAGTTTTCGAGAAACATATAGGAGAGCAAAAAGTATCCGAATAAAATAACTGATAATCTGATTCAATATTTCATTGAAAGCATCAGAAGAAGCATGCAAAAACGTTCAAGATGATCGGAAGTGTATCACCCTTCTGTTATTCAAAATCGCCTTATAGCTCTAAATATTGTATAAAGGCAACAGATTCAACGATGAAGAATAAGAGAAGAAGTTTTTATAAACTTGTCGGTTTTCTGCTAATGATTTCACTGTATATGAAATATATTTGAAAAAAAATTTTGATTTAGTTGCTTTCTGCCTAGATATTAGAGATATTACAATTCATACCTTCTGGCTGCATCCCGCATTTATTCATTCATAAAATGATTGTGACGAGACATTTCAATCGAAAATATTTTGACTATAAACTCGCACCATGCAAAATTCATTCTCTGACAAGAAATGCCATTACCAGCAACATTGTCTGACAGTTCAAAGCACACTCTTCATGAATGAAATAATATTTGTAATTACCTTCTGAGACTCTGAACTGTTCAATATCGTTTTTCTCGAAAACGGATGAAAATATCTTGTGCAAACACAGGTACCAATATTACGTAGAAATGATGTTCAGGTCATATTTTTCATTCAAAATTACTCATAAGTTTGTATCAAAATGTTGAATAGTACATGAAATAATATTCCCTGTATGAAATTATGCCTCTGTGCCAATTTTGATATAACACTTGATGAATATACAGTGAAATTATTGGCAAAAAACGAAAATGAAAAGTCAACTTCAACGCCCCGTATCTTCTTCATATTTAGTCATATCGCCATATTTTGGTCCAAACAATCCGCCCTTAGCCTATGTCCCAATAGTTATGACTCACCCTGTAAAATATGTCGGCGTCAAACAGTGAAATCCGGCATTCCCAGAATTTAGTACACCGTTTGCTCAATAAAAAGTTGCAGGCATTTATTTATTCCTGTAGTGAGGGAAGGAATGTCCATTTTGAGGAAGAGCAGATTAGGTTGTTTAGAAACAGTAATATATTTTTTTATGTCACGTAATTTTCCGAAGAATATACTTTTCAGAAAGAAAGTTCATTTAGGCCAATCCTGGTTATATAGTGTTTAGGAGAAGTCGTCTTAATGATATTATTCTTTCTCAACCATCCGGCAGAGTGACGGCTAAAAATGGTAGTAACGCTGTTACGCTGTTTTCTGGCATAATCCACTCTTCATCCCAATGATATAAAAAACACGCAATCTCCCTATGTCTTTGAGAAAAAATTTGAAATATATATATATCATGAAAGACCATAGACAAGCTATCCATATAATATTATTTATAATAAACCATAATAACTCATATCAGGGTGAACTTTACTATAACTTTCCAATTCTATATGTTTCAATGTCTCATTTTCAATGTACAACTTCTCATACAAGTTCTACTCCTGCAGCTTCCTATTACATTGAGTTTTACTGATTTACGTCGGATTTTCAATCGTTTTATAATTTTTTTATATTCAATAAATATCATTTCATTATTATTTTCATTATCATCATTATTATCATCATTATTTTCATTATTTCGATGGAACAGAAATATGAAACATTCCTAGTTCTTATAACTTCTTAATCTAATCTATACGTATCCAGCACAATTGCAATGTAAACAATCGATTGGAAATGCAAATAACATAATTTGGAGTGACTCTCGCATCTGATATCTATAATAATAATATACATCGTATGAGGAAATCATTAGAATATATCGAAACATGCCGCCAACTATCGAACCATAAGGGTTGAATGCATACGCATCTGACAGACTATTTAATATTCAATTTCTCATTTGAATCCATGGCGAATACCAGGTGATACTAACTCATGGTATGAACCCTCATTTTCTCTATTGTTTTTCTAACTTTATTCCTGGAATTTGGAACATCAAATATGCTCACTAGAGGGCACTTTCACACACTTTGAGAACTTCAATTCATCTTTCGGTTTTCGTGGAAGTGATATCGAATTTCGAGTTTCAAATGGAACACCCTGTATTTTATCCCATGATATGTTAGGGATAGTTTCAACAAATTGAATGATTCCGGGTTTGACTATAGGTAATTTCAAAGGATTAGGAAGATATTCGCGTTCGAAATTTTCATGAGCTCAATGAGTGTGATAGAGAAAGGAGTTTCGATATTGCGCCGTCACACCCATTGATCTTATGGAAACTTTCTCGAAATAATAGCTGCCATTATTGACTCGTGGTATAATTAACTAATATATAACCAGACCCTAGTCTGTGGAAGTAAATACCTGTTGTTTTTTCATTATTATTAATGTTTTTCAGACACTTTATAGCGATGACCCTGATGTTCCGGAAGCTAAAAGGTTTTATGAACGGATATGATCAGAAGGAAGAAAACTACTAATGATTCAACCTCCTGAAAGAACACCTGAAAGTATATCTTGGTATCATCCTACTGGTGAAACTGGAAACAAAATATATTTACATGATTATTATAATATATACTATTTCTTTGTGCATCAGATACGTATTTTCACATAATCACATATGTAGCTTGGCCCTATGAAGTTATATCTGCTGAATTATTTCTGAGTGCACTTTGAGAACGCAGTATACTGAATTTATGTACAGGGTGAACTTAATAGTGCGGAGAATTATTCCTTGCATGTGTTCTCTCTACAAAAACCAGTTCGAATATTGCGAAAAATAATATTCATGAGAATTGATTCAAAAAAAGATGATATATTATCGAATTTAATACGACGAAATTCTCATGCACTGCCCTATATACCAGAATTATATCACGATATCACAATATCACAATAGTGTGGAGTAGAACCTATTTATTTTCAGTAATGATTAGCGTTGTCTGTGCGTTTAGTTCCATTAGGGTGGGTCAAAAGGTAGGATTTACTAACAGCGTCGAAATAATTTGCTGCACATTCCAGAAAAAATCTGCATTAATAACAATTTCAATTACAACTCCTCGATTTTTCTTCGACAAAACATGCTTTGACACGTTATATAGAGAAAAACAGCCCTGCAAGGTGCGTTTGCCGCGTGCCACCAACTGCAGAGGATTTAGTATAAATTCACTATAAGGTACAAATTTCGTCGGATCGCTCTCAAACATCATGGAAATTTCCCCGAATGTAGGACTAACCTATACAACATCTTCTCATTCTCAGTCTCAGATGAATGAGATATATAACGTAGTAGTTTCAAAGCTAGTCCGTCACTGGCAAACTAAATTAGCCAATAATGTGATTGAGAGGGTTGATTTCACGCGACTCATCTGAAATATATTCATCATATTCATAAATGATTGCCCAACTAGCAAAACTAATTTTATGAACGCTGTCAGAACTGCTATACAGCATATCCTATAGAAACGTGAGAATCTTATAATGTGATGGCTATAAACCATTATACAATGTATTCACAACGAAAAAGGGACCCAGTTTGAAAACAGTTCAGTTCTTTCAGGGCATCCTTTAGTAAAATACACAATATATAGTTATAGGATAATCAATATAATTAGTATATAACTTCCCCATATGTATGTCCTATTTATGCAATGCATCTACAACACAATTGTATAGCAGTACTCTTATCCTGCGGTTTGAGAGTACTCAACAAACTGAGAAAGTTTTCTATAAGTATTCTATAATGCAGACCGAATCGCTAATATGATAATTAGGTTTTCTACTGTTGTAATTCGAAATTGAATCTTTTATTAGTTATATGTAATCCGTCGCGTTTTGCCATGACAGAGTAGTAAGATCACAAGTCTACTGTTGGAAGTTACAATGAACCCTAATGACAATTGGTGTCAAATAGATGATGCTAAAATAAAAAGTCTACCGATTTATTGCTACTAATTTCATGTATGTTGGTATAACTACTAGTTGCCTAAGCTAGCAACACTATTGGATAAAGTTTTTCTTGTTATCCTATAGCGCGTTGGCAAACTACCTGACAAAACAGAAGTATCGCTCAACAATAGAATATCTTCTGTATTCAGATTCTTTCCAAGCGTGAACCAACCCCAAATTATTGGGTTATGATTACCTATATGTTCGTATGATATGAATGGGATTCATAACGAGATATAATGAGATGAATTCATTCCTGGGAACTTCTTATTCTTCTTATAGCTCTTCATGAGAGAGAATACTATTGTAGATACTTCTATATTCAGTGCGTGTAATTTTCTTGAAGAACTCTAATGCAACTATTTATACAGCTTCCTCCACCACCAGCTTTTAACGTAGCCATAATGAGTAATAGATATGAAACCGTATTATAATCTGAATCACAGATTTGTTTCCACTCAGATATTGCCGAATTCATTTCGTAAACGAATCCTGCTGGAAAACACATCTCATTTCTCCATAACTATTGGGTCATGTATTTATGTAGGAAAAGCTATTGTAGTTATGGGACGATTATAAAATAGTTTTATATTTATTGTATAATGTGTCACTTCTGCGTGAAGCAACTATCTTATTCTTAAGAAACTCTAATGCAACTATTTATACAGCTCCTTCCACAACCAACTTTAACGTCCCTATCATAAGTAATATGATAGATATGCAACCGTATTATGATTTGAAACACACTGTTTTAGAATTATTTTATAGGAATTTTATAGTACGTCATGCATCTGTTATAAAATTTGAATTCGTCGTATGACATAAGTTGTAAAAACATCTATAAAACAGCATAATAGAAATCCCTATATTTTCTCATGAAATTGTCGTATTGAGACGCATTTAAAAATAATTCCATTCTACCAAGCGGCGCTATACGATAACTGTGAAATAACTTCGTTCTTTTTGGACTCTGTTTTGCTAGTTGGTGAATAACATAAAATACTCTGGAAATTATTGAAACAAAAATCCCTAGAGGTGTTTGTTATTAGACAATATAACCAAAGAAGGAGTTGGAATTAGTCATGTTATTCTCATGTATACTATCTAAATTGGGAAGATTGCCCACATGTACTACTTGGAAGTTTCACTCAAGAATGATGATTATTGGCACATTCTGATATATTCTCATTCGTTATATCTACCAATTCATTTTGCGAAATTTTCACTTCATTATGAGCATCACTCATCCTATCTGTATCAGTTAGTGCCAGTCTTGAATTTTCCCTATATAAATAATATATCACCAGAAGCCTGCACCGTATTTTCATTAGGAGATATCGATTTAATGTGAATGCAAAATGATTGATACGAATACATGATGATGGTGTTATGCATCACAAATGTGTTTACCTATTCGGAGAGGAGATATATTGAATGTGTTCATTAGTCTTGCACTGGCACTTTTTGATACAGCACTATCAGGAATTGGTGAAATGTATTCTGAATGTTACAATGTGTGACTGATGTAAAATCGTGATGCACATGAATAGGTAGAATTCTTCAATGAAGGCGGATTAAATTCCAGAGAAGATCCATTCGCCTGGTAGGTAGTGAAAATTCATTAAATCTTTGACCTCATTAAAACACTCTAGAAATGTCGGCGATCATTCACTTTTTTATAAATGAATACTTCCGCGGGAAACGATCATCAGAAATCTCTGCTATAATTCCCTCACTACCAATACTGGTTAGACGAGCTCGATAGTCCCAGTCAGCGTATCCCCTTGTCGTTAACCTTGAAATATGTCGAACAACACTCTACCAAAACTCATTCATCCATAGAACGGCGAAGCTTTGGAACTACTTGCCAATGGAAGAATTCCCAAGGATTTATAACCTCCAATAGTTCTGAAAAATTCCAACATCCACCTCCTTTCCCTATCCTCCCTAGGTACCCACGATGTTCCACGAATATTACAGGAATTCGCTTCCGTGCGCTCGAACAGATAGACAAATTCAGTATTATATAAGAATTTTTTCAATTCCTATACATTTATTATAGACAATCTTTGTTTGTTCTGTGACGGGGAAAAAAAGTTTGACTTTTCATCTCAGTTGATGGGTTATGAATTGCCACTTTTTATGGATTACTTCTTTCCGACAGGAACAAAAAGTACTTTTTCCCGACTCTTGCTGTCCTATAGTTCCAAAAAATAAGGCAATAACATCGTCTGCGAGAAAGAACTGCAAGTCCATTTACCTTCAATTCCACTACGAGGTTACGTAAACCTCGACGTAAACTGATAAACAACCACTAAGTTCGAAATTTTTTGCAAATCAAATCTCATAATTAGACTTACAGGTATTTGATATTGAGGGTGGTTTCAGCTACTCCTGGAGGGATATAATCTCGATACTGCTTGCGAAAGGTAGGTAGAAAATACATTAAATCGTTGACGTATGCCGGGAATTTTCAGTAAAGTATATTCACCTTACCGCTAAAGAAAATATTCCAGTTATATAAAGGCTCCACACTGTATTTTTTACGTAGACAGTTGGCCGCCTTGTAGAAGCGTAGTATCCTAATCACGATGGTTTCCAGGTCGTGGATTCAAATCTCCGACTGCATCAGACATTTTTCTGTTGGCCCATAATGTGTTTGAGATCAAACGTTGTTATAAGGTAACACCCCCGTCATTCCTTGCTTGCACAACCCTTACAATACCAGTACATCCTAGGGACTTCCCATGGACGTCCCTGATTCCATACTAGGACATCCCAGGGATGTCCTTTGTCGGGACAACGTACATACTAGGGATGTACCAAGTACGATGAAAATATATACCTAGGACGTCCCGAAGATATCCCAGGGACATCCTTTCGACAAGAGAAAGAAGTTGCAGGTCGAGTAGGGATTGAACCCGGGACCTTTGGCTTATCATGCACGCACCTTGCTCCATTGGCTATTATGCCTCCTGAAGATTCATATACTAAACAGATTTATAAACAGGACTCAACTACAGAAACCTGAATAAATACAACTTTATTAGGAATTGGGTATAATTATTATCATTCTTGTGTTTAAAAATGAGGGGCATTATGCATGTATGATTTCTGTCTGCGGAAAATGGTAATTTCTTAAGAAGTTCTGAGACTTTATTCTTTATTATCATTACAATCATTTTCCGGAAGAGAAACAAACATTTTCAAAAAAATTCAACTCAATAGTTTGATGAAATTCAATGACTCTGATGTGAATGGATATCAGATACTCCAGGGACACGAATAGGATAACCTAGGGATGAACCGGACGGGAGGTCCACTGGACAACCACTGCAGGACATTCCCTGGATGTCCCAATCATGTCCTTGTACCGCGGGACAAAAAAGGGACGTACCTAGGACATCCCTGTGTTGTTAGGGAAGTCTCTCGAAGACTTCGGAGGGTTGCTGTTAAGTGGGTAACCGAAAGACGGATAAAACAACTTCAAAACATAAAATTTCAGAACAATGTTCAGTGTCCATATCATAATATCAGATCTGACAGTTCATTACATTAAATATTGCTCAAAATTCTTTGTATTGATATTTTTCGACAATTCAATCTCGGATTATGAAAATCCATATCAATTTACTTTACAAAAAAACAAAGGAAATCTTGTTCCGCATCGA